CCGGAGGAGGCAGCCCCCAGGAGCCTGGGCTGCGGAGGGCAGCTGGGTGCCTGGGTGCCGCAGTTCCCGCGTGCCCTGCTGAGGGACATCTGGGCTTCCCCAGGGGTGTCCGGGAACGGGGAGCGGGCTGGAGCACAGAAAGAGACACTCTGTGGCCACAAGCTGGGAGGCCGCGGGTACCTTTCCGGAGGTAGCGGCATGCTGCACTCAGAAACATGATCGAAAACAACCTGCTTTTCACACTGTCTTCTCTTTCCTCACTGATAAATACACTGCCCCTTCCCCACTTTTTTTTTTTTCCCCAAAGGGATTTTTCACTCTTATGCTGTAGGAAATTGTCCAGCTCTTTTAAAAGCTAAAACACCCAAATACACAGTGTGCTTAGTAGTGGTACACAAAACAGGCTGGCAAGGAGGGTATGGCTGGCCAGGCACAGAAAGGGGCTTTCAAGCACTCAGCAAAACTTTTCCACTAACAAAAGCAAAAAACTGGTTGAAAGGGAGGTACAAAGATGATGCAGGCAAGCTTTTCACCTTCGCAGTAGATGTTAAAGCAAAGGCAACAGCTGGAAGCTATGACTTGAGAAATTCAGGTTGGGTATTGGGAAAAAAATAGTAATTGAGTAATGTAGCAGAGGAACAGGCTCTGCTGAGAGGGTCTGCATCCTTAGAGATTTTCAAAACCTGGTTAGAGAAGGCTATGGCTGACCTGACTTGGTGTTGGTGGCGGCGTGCTCTGAGCAGGAGGCTGAACTCCAGATTTCCCTTCCAACCAACTCTTCTGTGATTCTCCCAACAAGATGTAGGCAGTTATGGATTGCAGATAACTCAGCAACTAGAAGTTGATAATTTGTGAGAAATCTTCCAAAAATGGTTTAGCTGTGTTAAAGGCATACAAAGCAATGCAGTGCACAAAATCAGTATTGTAATCACATTTCAAGAAAAAGAAGCAAAGTGCTTCAAAGACACTTTGGTAAAACAAACCAGCAGTTACTAGATCACTATTAGAGCACAGCTACCAAAATCTAGGCATATGCTCCTGGAAAAAAAAGTTGTTGAATTTAAGAACATCTGCATTAGTTCTGAAACAGCACCAGGTCAAGCCTTGGCTCCATTTTTATTGCTTCAGAGCAACTTCGCTGTTTAAAGATTGATCTTTTTTTTTTTTTTGCATTGACTGTTACAATGTTTTTTCTTAAAAATACAAAAAAAAAACTTAAATAGTAGAAGTGACTCAAACACCATGTTTAATAAAAAAGTTTACTGGAAAAAAAGCAATAAAAATTCAGATGAGAATTACAACAGATAAAGTGCTACGTACAGGAATAACTGCTCTCCATCTTGCAGTAAGCTCTAGCTAGCCTTCAGCTTTACCGTTCTCTTGGTAAAGTAGTGCCTAGAGGAATGCCGTATCTATCCAACTGTCTTTATAGTAATTAAGTTTCACTTTGCCAAATTGCCATCTAAACAGAAGGCACGAAGGTCTACAAGACATTTGGAAGATTGTGGCTGTCCAGTGAATATTATTTCCTTAAGCTTATGTATTGATCAACAATTTGCATCTACACTTAAAGAGGTTTTGGTGCAGAGGGATACATTAATCATTCATATATACAGCACTGACATTCTGCACAGCTGTCAAAAAAGAAAAAAAAATACAGGAACAAGACTAATTTGCTGTTTTATTTGGCTTCAAGCTCTTTTGACAGAAAACACTATTTTAAATATTTCAGCTTTAAAGCAGTGATATAGTTTTCTATAGCCTAATTAAATTGCTTGTTAACACAACAAAAAGTTAAGTGCAGTGTTTTGCAGGTGGATGATGACCTCTGTTTGTTTGGATTTGAAGTCTTTTTTTTTTTTTAACAATTTTAGATATGGGAATTATGTTTCAGGAAATAAGAAAGAAAGGAAACATGCTCTCCAGATTGGAGAATGGCAAGAAAGCAGTTGTTATATCAGCCCTAAATTAAATTGCACAATCCTAGCTGTGTGCTTATGGAAAAAACAAGCAAACTTTCAAATAGTTCAGTGACATCATTCTACCATGCTGCATTTTTCAGTAGTTCAGAGTAACCTCATTGTGTTTCAAGGATGTATGTTCTTTAGACTACAATATGTTCCACATCAGAGTGCAACAGAAGAATTTCAGGTATTCATACTCTGTCTTGGTAGGAGCTGCTGCTTTGAGTAGAATGTATTGAGTGGAATCTGCTAGCACTCTTAAGAATGGATGCAAAGAAAGAAGACAAGCTTGCTGCCAGGCAACTTGTGGACACCTGTGACAGACGTGAATTAAAACTGCCATCAAAGCTACTATATACAAATACCAGAGCTGCGCACTCTTTTTATTGCCATAAACTTCTGTTATTAAAAAAAAAAAACCCACTGAAGACTGAAAATAGACTAGCAAAGGAAAATAGACTAGACCGACAAATTTCTCAACAGATGCTGATTTTGTCATACTTTTAGAAGACAGGTAAGCTTGTCAGTCTAAATCTCTGTATTTCCTGCACCAGCCTATTTTCCATGGGGAAGGGATACCACTCTTTAGGAGATGATGGCAGTGACACTTCTTTGGAAAACATTTCTCAGTGATAGTGTTGCCCAGCAATTTATTTGATCCTTTTAAGTCTGTCCAGCTCCTGTTTCATGGTTGTTTCATGTTCTGCCCTCCTTCCTTATGCAGTTTTCTTTGATAGTTCTGTCACTGAAGAGTAAGGACTAATTTGTGACTCTTTTGCCACCCCTTCTTTCCCCCGCTATGCCCAACCCAAGGCCTTGGC